TCCGGGTCTGTCTATCTCCCATGTCGATACTTTGCACTTCGGCAAAGCCTTGTCTGGGTTCCTCTCTGCTCGAAGGCAGAGAGTTCGACAGCACAGCTGCAACAGACTGAATATTTATTGTATGAAATATACAATTGTGGCACATGGCCTAAAAAAGGGAAGGAATTGAGGCTGGTCAACACTAACTCTCCTATACCTAGCTAATCCGATTCACGGCTCATTCACTCATTACAATGTTTAGTTTACTTTGTGATGAGTTTTAATGTATTATTGGGTTCATCTCCCTCCCTTCTCATTCTTCATTATTAGAATTGTATATATATATAATTATTATCATTAAATTTTTAAGGAATGGGGGCGCGTTTTGTAGGTTCCCCTTGAGAGGTTGCGGTATTATGGTGGATGGAGGATTGATTGGTGACGGACGACTTTTTATGGTGAATGTGGAAACTGTAATGTGTGAATGGGTCGTGAACCAGATTAGCTAGGTATAAGATAGTTAGTGACGATCAGCCTCAACCCCTCCCCATTTTTGCCTTGTGCCCTAATTGTATTTTATATACAATAAAATTCTAATAATGAAGAATGGGAGGGACTTACAGATACTTATAGGTAGTTACTACCTATAGTGTAGTCACTCATGGGGGTGACAGGTTATTCCATTGCATCAATTCTCAATGTCATTATGAACCAAAAATCTTCCATCACTGAAATCTATTCCCTTTTTCGTTATAAAAGAAAAAACAAAACGAAAGAAAAAATAAGAAAGTAGTGGTCACTTTCAACTAGAAGTGATTCTCCCCCTCCCTGTTGGTCTCGTCAATCACGTGTCAAGAGATGATGTTCCCTTTTATCATTCGTTGGCACTATTTGTAGTCTTCAGTTATTCTTTGAATTTTCTTTGTGTTTATTTCATATTGTTTATTTTATCTAATGTCAAAGTCTTTGCCATACTTTGACAATGTCCGCACGCTATCGGCAACATACTCGCCGAGAGCTGTTTGCGCTAAATCGATTTCATCTTTGCCAGACGATGATCCAACATGATATATATTTGAGTTTCAATTCCTGGTAAGTGTTATAAAATAAAATAAGACATATCTCAGCTGATTTACAGGCAAATACGCAAGAGCGAGAGCCGGATGTGAACGGGACAAAACCCCGTCACAAAATGACCATTACCTTCATTTACAAATGTTCCCGACACTCGAGTTCCGGTCGAAAAATAAAATAATATTTAAAGTGTTCTATTTTTCGTCCAATAAAAATGCTTCCCTCCTAATTATACTCGCTTCGTTTTTCGAGCCTGTTAAGCCATAAAACAACGCTATAAAAGGGGTCACACGGAAGTTCAACTGGCAGTCCACAGGTGCCCAGGGTAGAGACCTGTCACGTTCAGCTGCTGACAGCAGGGAAGCGTCAACCACCGTCAACATGTGTGAACTACTATGAGGGATCGACTTAGATCCGAAGCCGGCTTATGAACTTTACCACAAGGTAGCTGTCCCAAACCCACATGTTCCTGTTGAAATAAACCACGTAAATCTATTTCTGCTGTTGTCGTATTTCTTTCTTGCAACCATACGCTTGTCTATAACATAAGTTTAATTGATTGCTTATCACTTATCTTAATCATTTCTACCTCACATATCCATCATCCCTTGGTGTCCATTTTATCTCATCTCCTTTAGTGAAGTCATGGGCGTGCCTAACATAGAAAGGATATTGAACTAGAAATCCAAACCAGCAAAAGAGGAGATGACTAATTGAGGTGGGTGCAACTGTGAGCCTGAAGGGGAATGCAATCAATGGTGTTTTGGTCGACCATGGTGCCAAGATAGAATCAAGGAAAATGTATCTAAGATTATGATAAAAAAAAAAGCGAAGGGCAAGCAAAGAAAGTTGGAAAAAAAAGATGAATTATTGCGAGTAAACGGAATCAACATAGATTTGGAAAACAAGGATGAAAAAGAAAAAGAAGTTTAGAAGCTAATTTTAGATTATTTCTCCTCGTTACTTCTATTTTCTTTATGATTTTACTACTTAAAAAAAAAAACAATTTTCTGTAATTTTCAACTTCAGGTTTCGTTTCGTTTCGTTTGATTTGTTTTACGGCATATCAACCTCAATGGGTTATTTAATGTTGACAATAGTTTTATTGATGCTAATATTTTTGTCAAAAAATATATTGCTGCTAATATTTTTTTTTCGAAAAGTGTATTCCTGTTAATATATTTTTCCAATAATGTTGGTAATAATTTCTTTTTTTTTTTTTTCAAAAAAATGTATTGCTGGTAATATATATATATATATATATATATATATATATATATATATATATATATAATAATTTAAAAATGCTGGTAAAATATTTTCTCAAAAAGTATTGCTGGTATTAAAACCTATTTTTATACTTTCATAATGTTTTAACCCCTTGCGGGGTAACTATTTGTCCATAGCTGGGACCCTGACAGGTGCTACCAGCCCGGGTCAGGGTGGA